TTTAATTTTTAAAAAGTAAAAGCAAAATAGAACCCTCCAAAAATACTTCGCTGAGAAAACAATCATGTTTGCAGTCACCTAACATTTGTTAAAAGGTACGGGATTCTAGTTATGGTAATGAATACGTGCTTCTACAATGAAAACAGTAGTCAGATCTTGAAGTAATTATCTCTGCATTTTTCTAGATGGATAATCATAGTTTCCAAAAAAAGGGGGAGGAGGAGCACCTCCAAACCATTACACAGTAAAGGCAAATAAATTATTATTGGCTTAAGAACACCTTTAAGAGCTATGTTATCATACGCTGTAGGATTCTTAAGCCTAAAGGTACATTTGAGTCAGAACAGAAGGAAAGTTAGGCTCTTCAGAGCTCTTCAGACTGTTGGATTCAGTCACCCAACAAAAACAAACCCAGCACCTCCCCTGCACCAGCACCAAGCTAGGCACCAGGAGGACAACTGCGACCAAGACAGCTTTGCATTAGAGGGGTGACCAGCCAGAGGCAGCTCATTTAATTAATCTCTCTGGGCTTTCGTTTCTTAATCTGTAAAATGAGAAAGTTAGACTAGCTCTCTAAGGTCCTCATGCTCTAAATACACAAAGATTCACTAATGATTGTAAGGTGGACTTCTATTTGACAATATCATGATTCCCTATTTCTATTTATTATTTTTTGTCATAAGTAGGAGTGCATTTGAGAATTTTAATAAATTGATAAAAATAAAAGAGAACAGTGGTAGTGTTTTTAATTACATTCCCAGCTCTAAACTACCATCATAAGCAGCTATGGACTTGTGCCACAATTGCAGCCTGACCTGAGTAATAACCAAATTGAAACACAACATTACATCTTCGTATTTTCTGTAGAGAAATTAAGTGGTCATTTATACCAAATTTCTTTTATGTTTTAACATCATCCACCATTTTTGAATGCTAAAGTTTTTTTTCAATAACTAAGACAAAATAATAGTTTTCTAAAGAAAAAGGAAAATTTTACTCCCAAATAAAGCTATAATGACTTTAGAAGTCTTTTAAAATATAATACACTAAATTCTGAATTTCTAATGGCATAAAAAGATTAGCTGTCTTAAAAGATACACAAATGGGTCTGCGCCAAAAAATAAGCCAACCGGCGTCACACACAGCCAGTATGTTCTCCACATCATCTCAACAGCACCCAAAATGTTCTTTCTCTGTCTTTTTTAGTGAATTTAGCTATGTGACCTATCTCTAAGTGCCATTTGTTTACACCTAGAAACCATTTGAATAACTAGAAGTGAATCACTTTATTACAAAGCTGAAGTTTTAAAGGCCATTTTTTATAGTCATTTGCTCAGCCCTGACTAAGCATTTTTATTCTTGCAATGCCTTATTTATAGTAAATGTTTGTAAGATGGCTATGCTGTCTGCTATCAAATCCAAAAGACTATATATAGATATTAAAGGATGAAAGATTACTAATACCTCCAGGTTAATCTTAAAAGTTCAGGGTATTTAGTTACTTATAGAACTCTCTCTCCTACTAGATGGTAAACTCTCTGAGGGGAAGCAGTGTTCCTTGTCATTTTACTCACAGAAAACCTGCCAGTGATTGCTAAGTCAAAAGTAAGTAAATGGATGTTGACTGTCTGGCAAGCAAACTTTCTTAAGTACAGGGAATAAAATACTGTAAGTGTACATTTGAAATAATTACTTTAAACCTGGCACTCAGATTGCAGTATGGGCTACACAGCATGTACATAGAAGTACTGACTGTATTCTCTCAGAGATGAAAATATTTCTTTTGACCTGCTTTAAAACTCTATATATTAAATTAATGATTGTGTCTTAATGAAGAAAGAGCTGTAACACTTCTTTGATACAGTACTATAAAGGTACTCTTTGTAGTATGCATTTTAACTCAATGATTAAGACTATTGGGAAAAGTTTTAGAAATGGTCCTAAATGTCAAACTAATCAAAAATTGAAGTTAAATTTTAAAACTAAGTTATTAGATGTGTTATTTTAACTTGACTTCCATATTTTGAACTTGAGGAAAAGTGTTCTTCTCTTCAAAAGAGGAAAATAAGGCTTGAGTTTTTAACCATCAGCATCACCTATACATGACTTATATATCATTTCTCAATCCTGACCTCTGCATTAAGACAGATAAGGAAATAATTTTTTATTAGTTTAAAAATAAATATATTGATTAAATCAATATAACCAGAGTTTGGAATTCATATAGCAGTCTTTTTTATTATTCAATTCTTATCTAGAAATTCATGTGAATCTTGAAAAACCTAGAACAGAATCCTTCAGGCTTCAATTTACTGGCTTGCACAAGAGGGAAAAAAAACAGAAAATATGAGAGAATATAAGTAATAAAATCCATAGTACAAGAAAACAATTACTGAGTGGCACGATGAGGAAATTCACCTGTTACAAGCCTCAAAAATATCCATTATGTCCCTTTGCCAGTTTACCAAAAGGGGGGGGGAATGCCATATTTCCACAATTTGGCAAAGAAAAATTCATTCATAAAATTTACTGCAAATCCCTTTCCATTTCCAAATTCTGTTTACTTTCTAACTTTTTTCTACAGATTTTTCAGGGAAAATAAACTTTTCATGAGCAAAGCTTAAAGACCTAAAATGTCTGCTACTTATCACCTAGAAAGGCAAACCAAGTCCAGCTCTGTGCCCCAAGCATCTAGCTTTCAGCCTCTTTATTATCATTGTCAATGAATGGGCCCCAGTCAAATGAAAGCTGCCATTTTAGGGTAAAGACTGGAGGGCTTCTGTTGTGCAACAGCAAGACAAAAACACTCTGAGACAGATGTACTCTGGGGGCTGGGAGACGGATTCAACTTCATAAAATCACTGCTCAAGTGATTTCTGAAATAAGAATTACCTAGTACTTACACATTACTACAATCTAAACGGAACAGTAACTGGGATAAACCAGGTTCCCATGCCGCTAAAGTCATAGTCACTGTTTTTTTTTTTTTTGCCATCGCTATAACAGATCTGTGAGGAAATACTAGTTTTTTTTTTTCTATCTGATTATTACCTCCCCCCTCCCCTTATTGGGAGAGAACTGGGGAGCAATGCACTCAACCTCTTTGAAAGGTACTGCCCACCGCGAAGACGGCTTAAATTAGTATTTTCAGAAAATAAAAATCAAGGCCTTTACATAATCCTTTAAGAATAAATTAAAATATTTAATATAACCCAGAAATCAAGTCCAGAGAATGGACATATTTCAACAACAGTTACTTAAATCGATTGCTAGATAATATACAATTGGGAACTAAAAAGTATACTTAGCAAGCGGAGAGCTGGATAGTGTATCTAATTCTAGCAATTCAAAAGGAAACTCTCCATGTGGGTTGCTACTTTTCTTTTGTCCATTGTCTGTTCAGAAGAGGGGGGAAAAAAACTAGTTTAAAATCGAGGCGTGAACAGTCTCTAAAAGTGACCTCCGGAAAAACCGTCCGACCCAAAGCAGGAGCACTCCCCGCGCCGCCCGCTCCACGGGGGCGCTCACAAAGCGGGCTGCCGGCCGGGAGTTTGGGGTGCGCTCTCACCGCGCGGGGCTCCTCGAGGCAGAGCCATCCGGAGAAAGGCGGCTTCGTAATGATGGCTGCTCGGGGCCGGCGGCTCCTTTCCCGGAGTCTCCCGACCCCCCTTTGCCCGGGATCCTTCACCCTCCCCACCACCCCGGGCCGCGCTGGCCCCGCGCGGACGCGGCCGCCCCGCACCGCAGCCCACCGGGTGCCCGCGCCCCCGCACCCCCGGCGAGCCCAGTCCCCAGAGCGAGCCAAACAAACAACGCGTCCCCCGCCGCCCTCCTTCCTCTCCCCGCTGACCGCTTGGCCTCCAGCCACCCTGGCTGTTCACGCTCCGAAACGCAGATCTCTGTGGGAGCAGAGCGCACCCGGGCCATCCTGGGGACCACCTGGTGACCCCCCAACCCCTGCACCGAGGTTGACCACTGGCGGGCTCGCGGATGGGGGAGCCGACTTGCCTTCGGGGGTTAAAGTAGCTATTATGCAGACGCCGCCGCTGCCGTTGGCCGGGCCAGCTCGGCAAGGTGGGGTCCCCTCCTCACCGTGCCTCCCCGCGCTCGCTCCGGCCCCGCTCCCTTTCTTCTCCTCGCGCACTTGGGAGCTGCGGGGGAGCCCCGGGAGCCCCCGGCTCCAGGCTTACAACTCGCTGCCAGCACGGGCTGGGCTCGGGACGCCCCCAGCGTCGCGGGTTCGCGCCGCCCCCGCCCCACGCGGCTCCCCTCGCACTTTCCCCACCGCTGACCCACCTCGCCCGGTAGCCGTCCCCGCGCGGCCGGCGCCGCCGCGCCAAGAGGACGCACTTTGTTCGCGCCGGTGCGGCCGCCGCTCCCGGCGAGCGCGGCGTGGTCGGTCCGGAGCGGGGAGCGGGGGGCGGGGACGCGAGGCGGGGGTCGCCGCCGTCCCCGAGCCGCCGCCGCTCAGCCGCCCCGCGCCCGCGCGCCCATCGCCCACTCGCACTTGAGTTGCAGCCCAACTTTTCCTCCTTCCTTTTTCTTTCAAATGGAGCCGGCAACTCGTGCTCGGCGCCGGCGGGAGGAAACGCGCTCGCGCTGCCCGCGCGCAGACACGCTCCCTCCTGTCCCCGTCCCCCCCGCCCCCCCAACGCCGGCAGCACAACAAAAAGCCATTTACATGCGAGGAAGTGACCCTCGGCCGGACCGCGCGCCCCCGCCACCGCCGGCCCCGCGGACGCAGGCAAAAGTTGGGGCGCCGGGAGGCGCTCCGACCGCGGGTTCGGACGCCGCGAGCGGCGACGCCGGCGACACGGCACGGGAGGCGCTGCGCTCCTGCGCCGGCCCCGGCCCCCGCCCGCCCTCGCCCCTCGCCCCTCGCCCCTCGCCCCGCACACGCCCAACTCCTCGCTCCCAACTCCTCGCGCGGCCCCGGCCCGGAGCGATTTCCTGCCGCCGCCGCCCCTCCCGCAAGGCGTCCGGCGAACTCTCGCGCTCACCGGGTCGGGCGGGCGGGCTCCTCCGCTGCCCTATGCCGAGGGGAAAACAAAATGCAGAGCGAGCTCCGGAGTTGGCTCGGCGGCCGCGGCCAGGGGGCTGAGTCCACGGGCGCGGAGTTGGCCGGGGGCGAACGGGGCTCTGGTGAGTTTCAGGGTCTCCGGGTGCCCGGGCCGCCTGCTCAGCGGCGCTCCTTTGTGTAATTTCACTCGATTCAAGTTTAATCCGATAGTTCCCGAGCACGAGCGCGTCCTCACTACCACGGCTCAACCCCCGCGCCGCCGCCGCCGCCGCCGCCGCCGCCGCCGATACCGCCGCCGCCGCCGCCGCCGCCGCCGCCGCGGCCCCAGCACGCCAGCGCCTGCGCGCGCCCGGCACGCCGCGCGTGCCTGAAACCGCGGGGCCGCGCGCGCCCTCTACCAGCTCCCTCCGTGCCGCGCCCGCGCGCCGCCACCTGACGTCAGGCGCGCCTGGCATAATTTATGCAAGAATTCGGCCGGGGTGGCGGAGACCGAGTGAGAGGCCGAGAGAAAGGGGGCGGCGCGGGGCTGCGGGGCCGCGGGCTGCAGAGGGCGGGCCGGGCGCCACTTCCCGTCCCCGGGCGGGCGCCGGCGCTGCGGTCGGTTCTCCCCGTTGCCGATGCGCGGCCGCCGCGCAGCTTTTCTGGCAGCTCCTCCGAGCGCACGGCCGCCGCGCGGCAGCGCCTGGGGCGCGGGCGGTAGACGGTGCCACGTCTCCCCGCCCGGCACCTTCCCGGAGTCAGGGTGCGCCGCCTCAGGGCAGGAAGCAGCGGCTCCAAGCCGGCAGCGATTCCCCCCGGCCACAGCGAGGGGCTTCCAACGCTAGGCAGTCGGCAGCAGCTCGAAGGGTTTGCATGTGTTTTCCGTAATTATCTTACAACTTAAAATTATTTTCCCACATGAAATATTTAGAGGGGACTTGTTCCACCTCAGATTTTCCTTGGCCTCCGCACATTGCTTTTCCTACCTCCTCGTTGACAGCACAGCAGGATCCACTACTAAATCAAAAAGTTTAAGTAGATGGAGTTGATTTTACTGAATTTGTTGCCATGCCCAAAAAGGGAGAGAGGGCCGATGGTTATGAAACAAAGAAATAGGTTGTGTGCCCATTATTAAACGTGTCAGGACTAGAATGTTTCAATCATTCTTTGGCAAAAATGGCACTTTTATATGATCTCCTTGCTCTTAAATATCCAAGGCTCTTTTTTCTCTTCCTGGTACAAAACAAACGTTAAACCTGGGGACATTTTTCTTCTAATTGTCCTTTTGGGAGAAAGATCTGCAAACATTTATCAAGTACCTTGTATGTGCAAAATACTGAGCAATGATAATTCTTGCAAACCGTCAACAATTGTGCACTTTTAGATGATTCTTGGGTTAAAGGTAAATTATGTTTATTTTTAAATCGGAAGGAAATTATTATATCAACCAAAGATAGTCCTGTAATAAAGAGACTTGATATAATTGGACTTCAAAATAAACTGAGAAAATTGCAAAATTCTACAAAATATGTACTTTCTCATTTACTACCTTTAGTGCTAAGACTACAATCACAATATTTTTATTTGAACAAAAGATTAGTCTAAATTGTTTTTTTATAAAACTACAACTATTCAATAACTAAATTTAATTCCCCTAGCCTTAATCACTGAAACATTTTCTAATATTAGTAATAATTTTCTAAATATTAGTTACATTATACTGTCATCTCTTGAAATGCACTTATTTTGGCTTTCTTTCATATATTTTAGTGGTGTTTTAAAAAGAGGTAAGTGTTTCATTCAGGGGATTTACAAACAAAAAAGATTGATACTACAGAAAATTCTGACATTAAAAAAATGAATAACACTAAAATCAATTTCTACCTTTTTTATAACCCCATATCACAAACCAAGAATCAGAATTCTCAGGTTATGTTTATATTTCCCTTAATCTCTCAATGCAAACCTGTGAAGGATGCTTTGGGGTTCATGTATGTGTGTGTGTGGTGGGTGTGGGTGTCAGAGAGAGAGGTTAAAGACAGGACACAATGTCTACAAAGAAATCACCAGTACCTGACTATGTTAGAGTACATAAAAATGACATTAAAAATTATTTTTTGTATAGAATAAGCTCATTGTCAGATGTACACATCTATTTTGAGGCAATTTACTTGCTGAAAAAAATGATATCTACATACAGTGAAAGTATATTAGTTAACCTTCAAACAACAAAGAATATTAAGTGACTATGAGGAGGCCCGCCTGTGTCCTTGTACATTTAACTAGAAAGGTAGGGCACTTCTTTTTGAAACATATTAAAAATGGTAAAATACTGCAGCCAAAGTTCAAAGTAGAAACAAACAGCCTTGCAGCCAGCCCCTCCCCAACTTACCCTCGCTCCTCATCACCACCCCTAACAGCTATGATGGAGAAGTCTCTAAGTTTTCAGGGTTGGTGCCATGCAGAGCCTGAGCGGCCTTGAAAAGTGGAAAGCCTCTGGGGCAAACTCCTAGGCAGCCCTGGCCTAGCTAAGTCATAACTCCCACTGCCACTCCTGACCCTCTCCAGCCTTTAACCTGGAATGTTTTCTCTCCATTTGCTTCACTATTGAAGTTTTCCCAAAGAGAATAATTTGAATTCACAAGCTTTCTCTTTAAGCATTCAAATACCTTAGGGAGAGATGAGGGATTCCTGGTCATTCACAGATTAGTGTAAATTAATTCAATGGGTTGTTTTCCTCCCAACACCTAGCTGAAACTAACAAATTTAGAGATTTATCCATTCATTCAACACTGAGTGCCTAAGAGGTTCCAGGCATTGTTCGAGGTCCTGAAGATACAACCGTCCACACAGACCAGTATCTGCCCTCTTAGAGTTCATAATCTAACGGATTGGTTGTTTTGAATAAGTGATAAGAGAAAATGGTACTTTCACTGTCTGAGCCCTTGAAGAATAGGACAAACCTGGAGAGAGGGCAGTGGAAAGGTACCAGGGACCTTGCAAGTAGGGTGTTAAGGGATGAAGTGGATGCCAGCATAAAGACAACTTGACCTGTTACAAAAAGGTTTTCTAGGCTCCATGAAATGAGTGAAAATAGTCTCTTCCAAGAACTCAAACTAACGCTAACTGACCTATAGTTCAGCCACATTACAGCTTAGACAAATAAATATTTGTCTTTGGGAACATAACCATAATGTACCAATGCATAAAACTTCATAAGGGGACAGGGAAGGGGAAGGCTAATATGCACATCTAAAAAAACTGAAAATTACCCAAATTTTAGAACACCTCCTATTTAAAACTGGAGCCCTTTCTGTTTTTCCAAATGTTCTAGGCTTTAAAATATTACATAAATTACACTAATTCCAGTGTTGAGAACTTGAACTAGACCTGAAGCAGAGAGAAAAGTGAGAAGGACCTCATAAAAAAAGAAAGGGAAGATAAAATGATCAACTTCTGAGACTCTCTTGTCCCCTCCTGATGTGAGCTGGGAGCTCTGTCCTTTCATTTTATCTCTAAATAAAAGCCCGTACCTTGCTCTCCCAAAAAAAAAAAGACCAACTTCTTTGTATTGTTCAAACTCAAGATACTACAGTAAATGCTTACGTACGTTTCTGGAATTCGTCTTTTGAAACTGTTAAGAACCAATTTGAAAACCATAGAAAATAACTCTTTTCAGAGCTGAATCTTTTTTTTTTTTTTTTCACTTAAATCTGTGTTATTTTGCTTCATTTGTCAAATGTGCATCTAAACGATTTTGGCAAGCTCCAAAGAATGTTTTCCCTGTCATTGAAAAGATATAGGAAAATGCAAGTATAGATATTTAGAGGGCTATAAATGCTGGAGAAAGCACCAGAAAGAAAAGTCTAAAAAATGTTTCCGGCATCACTGAATAATAGCATAATCTTCCTCTGTAATTTTTTCATAAGCGAAAGAATCCAGTTGGATATGTGAACTTACCCTCGATGATCCACTCCACTCATAATGGAACCACTTGCTACAACTTTTTGCTGGGAGCTCTCAGGATTGGTAAGATCATGACATCAAGTGAAAAGAAAGCCACTAAGGTACTGTTAGCCTACTGTTGGCTCCCACAGATAGTATGTTTAGCTAAGTTGTAGCAAACATTTTGTTGAATGCCTACTGTATGCCCAGCTATTAACTTGGGAGAACATGCTTAGCTCCCCGCCCTCAAGGAGCTCAGGGTTTGTGGTAGCATAAAGAAAGGAGTGATTCTTTCTGCCTGGAAGACCAGCCCAGGCTTCCTAAGAGAAAAGAGTATTGTACTGGAGTTCATTAGAACAAGGAGAGCGAGAAGCATTCCCAAAGACACCAAAGTGGCCCATTAGTTCCAAAGCCTGGTGAGCATAGGTTTCTGCAAATGGTTCCATAGTGAGTGGAACATGGAGGGTGAGCCAGTCTTAGGGGGGTTACTGAATGCTGGTCACATGGTCTGCCATCCCATAGGGAAGACATTGAAGGACTGAAGAACCACTCAGCCCTGTGGTGGAACGAGCCTCCACTCTGTATGGAAGGAGCTCTCATAGGGAGTGTGGAGGCTGTGGTTGCAACATGGCCCTGCCGCCAACCTGGACCTAGTCACTTCGCCTCTTCCCCCTTCAGTTAGCAGCTCCAATATTCCATGAATTGTAGTCTCTGAACTTATGCTAAGTAATATTGGGCAATACCTGCAGTCCACCATTGTCTCCATTTCTAGACTAATAAAATTAGAATAACTATCATTCTATTAAAATGGAAATCCTTAGGGCTTAGCCAATTATGAGAAGATACTTTTACAAAACATTTGAGGCAGAAAAAATAGTGTCTTACTCATCCAACAATCATTAAGCACTTGCTGTGTATCACACATTGCGCTGGTTGCTGCAAAAACAGAAATAAAGCAAACCCCTGCCCTGCAGGAGCTTTCTAAATCTACTAGGGGTGACAGACATTTAAGCATGTCATCACAATGAATATGTATACATAGTATTGGCTATACTGATACTTCAGAAGAAGGAACAACTAATTTTGCTTCTGCCCAGATAGAAGGAAGACTTCATAGAGGATGTGATGTTTAAACTGAGTCTTCAAGGACTCTGTAGATGTCAGGCGTGGGGAGGTACACCAGGCACAAATACTGCCCGAGACATCCATGGGGCAGATGGCTAGTGTCAGCACTGCAAGTAATATGGCTATACCACTACATACACAGAGAAAGGGCAGGAAATGAGGATGGAAATATAAGAATGGCCAGATCAGGAAGGGTTTTGCAACACATTCAGTCTTTACCTTATTCTGTAGGTGATAGGGAGCCAGGAAAAGGTTATCAGTGGGAAAACAATCAGGACAAATATGGATATGTTGGCTGTGTGGACCAAACCTCAGAGCACAGAGAGAATGGGTAGATATTGATGATGGTCAAAGTATGACATGATGAGGCCCTTGACCAAGACAGCATTCAAGGTAATGGAGATAAAGGAATAAATCTAAAAGATATTTAGGTTACATATTTCATAACATGGTGAATGACTGTTGGTAAGTGAATGAAAGGGAGAGGTGAAGATTCATTTCTAAGTTTCTGCCTTGAGTGACTAGCATTTAGTCTCATCACTAACCAGGATGAGGAATAAGAGGCAGGAGTAGTTTGTGGAAGAACATAGTGCTCAGGTGTGGGAATTCTAGGTGGTTTTTGTACAGTGTTCAAGTGGGGATGCCCTTGAAATGAGATATGGGAACTCAGAAGACTGATATGATCTAGACATAGAGAATTATGAAGTATGAATGCTACTTAAATCCATTGGAATGGGTAACATTGCTTGGGAAAACATGCAACATGACAGAAAAACAGGCTAACAGCAGAAATCTTTAAAATGCCATGCTCTCTCAGGTACTTATTACTGTATATCACCCCAAACCTTGGTGAGCTCAAAATAAAAATTTATTATTCATCTGGTGGGGTAGCTGGGGGTTGGGCTCAGTTGGAAAACCTGGGGTAGTGGAGTGCCCCCCTCCTTGGTCTCTCATCTCAGTCATCCAGATGACACGGCAGTCTCTGAGGAGGGTTCCAAGAAGGCAAGGCCGAAGCACAAGTACTTATCAAGCCTCCGCGGGCTTCATGTTTACCGACGTTCCGTTGGCCAATGCAAGTCACATGCTGATGCCCAGAATCAATGAGACAGGAGTAGGAAACAGCATGGCTGCCCAGAGGAGTGATTCACTGGGGAACACTACTTATCCATGTACAACACATGTGAAGAGACAGGCAGAAAAAAGTGATAAAGGGAGACATCAGACAAGAAGCCATTGAAAAGAACTCCCAAAGATCAATCTGAAAGGAAAAATAAGACAGCAAGGGAGAGAGTTTCTGGAGGGGAAAGGGGCAAGTGTCAAATGTCACAGACAGAACAAGCAGGGAAGCAATGAAAAGTGTCCATCGGCTGTGGTCTTTGTTAACTTTTTCAGTTTCAAGTGTTGAGGGTAAAAGTTCAGTGGCAGAGGGCTGAGAAAGTTAATGGGAATTGAGGAAGTGTAGACAGTGGTGTAGACTTCAGGTTCTTATTGGAAGCTTGGTTATGAAATGAAGAGCGAGGGGTGGCATCTAGGGGAGGGCACACATTAAAAAGAAGGTAGTAGCTGTTTTGTTTTGTTTTTTAATATCAATATGATACTTTAGATTAAGATACAACAGTCAGTGGAAGGAGCAGGTAACCACATAGGGAAGGGAGGCTTGGGGAAGGAAGATGTGATCAAGTTAGTTCACGGGTGATGGGAGGAATGACACCCGTTTTTCTGAATCCAAAGAAAGGCTGATGAATATGGCAATAAGTTTATAGGTTGGGCTAAAGAGAGGTGACAGAAAATTAAACAAATCCACTTATAATGCCTTCTACTTTTCTTACTAATTCAGTTAATCATCTGCTAAGAATGAAATGTTTATGGATGATCAAGAGATTTGAGGAAAGTGTTCAAGTCTTGTGATAATCCTCATGGGAAGAAGAAACTGGTAAAGCAAGTAAAAGGAGTCCCTGAGACCTGAGACTCCTTGAGTCCTGAGCTGAGTGAGATTGTAGTGTCACCAAGTTATTATGCAACTTGCTCAAGTGATGTTCCCCTCCAGGGGAAAAGTAGTGCAAATCGTCAACTGCCAGATTCACCCAGGGGAGTCATTGTCTTCGTGGAGACCCAGAAGGATGGTTAGCCACATAGCCAGAGTAGAGTCCCCAGGGACTAGGTGAGATCAGCCTAGTTACCTGAAGCTGCCATGAAGTAGCCACCATCACAGGTCCTTTGTTTAAATGTAGAACGTGAGCTATGTGCTATATATGAATATAGCAAGATATATACAGATATCCGGCCATTTCAAATCCTTTGTTAGGAAATAAATGTCAGCAACAACAAAGAAATAAGTAAGCTTGTCTCCCCTTCCTTTTACTCCATCAAGCTGGTGGCTGGGTGGCTCAGCCCTGGGTTGTCATTTCAGTTCCGGGGATCTCAGCAGTGTCAGTGTCGTATGGGGGGACGTAATATTATCATTGCAACTTCTTGGACAATTCTAGGCTAAACCATGTCAAACTCAAAGCTGTATTGTGATATGTAAAATGAGGACAGGTTATAATCTATGATTGCCTAATTCCAAGTCGTGTCAGACCTCATGATACTCAACTCTGGTTAGGTATTTGCCAATCACTATTGCTAGCACGTGATGTCTCCCTTTATCACCTCCTCTTTCTCGTTGGTCAGAATATTGGCAGTAGATAAAATATCAGATTTGGGTTTTGCAGCTCATGTACAGACAACTCTCTGTTACAGATGGGGAGTCTGAAGCTTGAGGAACTGGCCTGCTGTGAACGGCAAAGATGGGATGCAAACCCAGGACTTCTAAACCCATGAGCAGTGCTCTTCCTGAAGGAAAATCTTGTAACTGCCAGAAGATTACTTGGCTTTCTCATGATCTGCTGTGAACTGAACTCCTTTACATCAGATTATTTACACTCTCCTCTGCTTTTAAAGGGGAAAAAAACACATTTGAAAAACAAGTCCACACCCTGATCTTCACAAGATCTTGCCTTAAGCTGCAGCTCTGGATAAGACTGAAGAATTATGCAACTAATTATGATGAATCTCTTCTCCTTGGTGGAAACACTAACTACTCTACCTAACTGCTCCACACTGAAATAGGCAAGTCACAGGGGCCCATGTCTTCCATCCACCCTTCGGATCGGTGAGAGGCTGGGTCAGGGCCCGCACTTAGCACTTTGCCCAGCATGTAGGAGGCAGCGACAATTGCTTATGATGGGTGTTGCCTTTAAGGTGTCTGGATGACTGGATACAGAAAGGCAAAATAATTTTTCCAAAATACTCTGCATACTTGAATCAGAAAGGAGACACACTGCTAATTTTGTCATTTGTATTTTAACACAGTTAACTTCCTCCCAAATAATTACTTGTTAATAGATTTATGATGTGTTTATAATATGATGGAGCTGTTTCACTGGAGTTTCTCCTTAAGAAAGCTAGCAAGAATTCATATTAACCCATCTCCCGAGCTCTTCTCTGGAGTTTCTCTGGTATGTTAGGCTGCTGCTAACTTCAGCTCCCAGGCTATAGCTTCATGGAGTCAGCAAGGCAGAGCTGACCAGGCTTGGGGTGGCACCATCCACCTGTGGCCCCCTTCCTGTCATCACTGTGCTGTTGTGGGGTCCTCAAGCCATTGTCCTTGAGTCACTCCTAAGTCAGCTGGTTCTAACGTTGTTTAAGAACAATTCACACGTTTCACCAATAGCCTCTTCATTCATTGCCTCTCCCAAGACAAAAAAAAAAAGTTATATTATCAGACCTGACTCATCGAAGGTAAAATAGTACACATGGGCTCAGAGATGGCACACATCAAAGTAATGGAACGAGAAGGACTGCAATCTGGGAACAAACACCATTCTGCAGTTCATGTTCCCCTGGCTTCATGCTTTTGTGTGTGTGTGATAAAATATGCATAATATAGAAATACCATTTGAACCAGTTATCAGTGTAAAGTCAGTGACATTAAGTTCATTCACAATGTTGTGTAACCATCACCACTGTCCATCTCCAGAACTTTTTCATCCTCCTGAACAGATACTCTGTACCCAGTAACATCTCCCTTTCCTCGATCCCCTGGTAATCTCACTCTACTTTCTGTCCCTATCAATTTGCCAAATCTGGGTGCCTCATATAAGTGGAATCACATAATATTTGTCCTTTTCTGCCTGCGTTATTTCACTTAGCACAATGTTTTCAAAATTTATCTATGTTGTAGCATGTGTCAGAATTTCCTTCTTTTTTAGGATTGAATAATATTCCATGGTATGTGTACCACATTTTCTCTATGTTGATGGAAACTTGCACTGTTTCTGCCTTGTAGCTCTGGTGAACAACACTACCACAAACATAACAAAACATCCCCTGAAGAGGAGCACCTATCCAACCCAGATTCCGGCACTTTATGGATCCTCCTTTCCTGAGGTGTGTACACACTCGCTCCCCTCATCCCATGCCCGCTCCACGGTGAAGGACTCCCCTCCCCTGAGCAAACTGAGGCTGTTTCCTTGTGCACTGCTGTGTGCTCTCCTTGGAATATTTCTCTTGGTCCTGCAGATGCCCTGTTCCTGTCTCTAGACACAAGAACTTGGTTCAACCCAGTGCCTTCCCTGGGAGCTACTGCCACAGGATCAGGATCACGCCTCCTCAGCCCTTCTCTTCACAAGCTGAAGTGTGCCTCAAGGTCATGTTTGTCCAAAACATGCTATAGATCATAACACAGGTAATTTAAAAAGGAAAAAAGAAGGTGCAGAAACAGAGAAGGTATCAGGGGGGAAAGCTTACGTAGGGGGAAACAAATTTGTCTTCAGACATGTTGATGTTGAGTTGATGGGAAAATATCCCAGTGAAATGATCTTGCAGTTAGCTGAAGATAAAAGGATGAAGCTGAATAAAGACTTAGAAGCCAGCTAAATAAATGAGATTTCTGATGGAAGTATATAATGTTACCTATGAAATCTTCCTGCCAAAAAATGAACTTGAAGCAGATCAAACTCTAGGTCTGACCGCAGTTTACTGGGAATTTGGGTGGGTGGAGGGTTGAACATGTTAAACCACACCATGGGGATGTGATCAGCAAAACCCAGAATGTGGGATATTACACAGGACAAATGATCTGGTTTTTTCTATAATAAACTGTAAGGGAAAAAAGAGAGGAAAAGAAAATCTAAAGATTAAAAGAGATTTAAAGAGCTGCATCAACCAAGTGCAACCTGTGCATCTTATTTGGATCCCGATCTGAACAAAGTAACTTTAAAAAAATTATGAGACTTTTGAGGAAATTGAATCTGATTGGATATTGGCAGATATTAAGGGATTTAAAAAAATTTTTGACACATTAATGCTTTTGTGGTTAAGGCTTTTTAAAATATATTTTGGGGGGGGTTATTTTAAATTTTAAAATATATAGTGGAATATTCACAACTGAACTGGGTGATCTCTGAGATTTGCTTCAAATTAACTCCACTGGGAGTAGAGCATGGGGAGTGGTAGGATACACATGAAAAAAAACACATGAAACATTACATGAGTGGTTATAAATGGATGGTTGTTGGGCTGAGGTGATAGTATCCTGTTTGTGGGAGGTGGGAGGCAGCCCTACACAATTCTCTCCAACTTTGGGTATGTTTAAAATTTCCCATTAAAAATACTTAGAATAAACAAATAAAGGAGAGAATTCTCCCCCAGTTGAAGTCAAACACTTCCATCTATAGACAGGTGAGCAGGTGGCCCAAAACAAAATCCTGGGAAAGTCTCATATTTAAGGTTAAATCAGAAAAAGAGAAACAACAGGTGGATTGGAAACAGGATCAGGATCCGCCAACAGGTGGATTGGCAAAATGAATGCTTTAGAAATTCAGCAAACCTGGATTTGAATCCAGCTCTAATTCTTACTGGCTTTGTCACCTTTGTACCTCATTTACCTCTGAAAGCCTACAAGCCTCAGCCTCCTTATCTTAAAGTGGGGATAACAGTTGAATCTCCCTCATAGAGTTAATACAAAGCTTAAGTGAAATAATTCATATAAAGCATTTTATATTCTGACTGGGCAAAATTAGTGCTCATTAAACATTAGCTGTTAGCTTGTTACTTTATTACTGATCAGAGTGATCATAAAAGATAAAAGAACCCTAGTGTGTAGTGGGACAGAAGGCAAGAGAAAATTTTGATGAAAGGGCAATGACAATGGTGTCATGTTATAATAAAAGCGTCTGATGCCTTCATCAGATTAGGTAATTTGGAGGCCTCCGATGATGTCAGCATGTTAGTTTCACAAGATCCAAGCGATAACGAGGAACTGAGCTGGATGCCATGGTGAAGCAGTGGGGGTGATGAAAGAAAGGAGCGGGATGCAGCTGCAAAGACAAGGGAGCCACTTCTCAAGAGAAGGGAGCCCTTGCAAGTCTGTTGGAAGAGAGGAGGAAGCTTGCAGAGAAGGAGAGGACCTCACCAGGAGGTAAGCGTCCTCAGCTGAGAGACGGGGCTGCCCTGCGGGGAGGCCAGGGATTCCAGGAAGTGTACTACAGTGAAGGAAGTTTGGGAGTAGAAACAGGACAAAGCCGCGAATGGAGTCAGGGTTTCCGAGAACATTGCAACTGTGAGTGAGTTCAAGTAATGGAAAGAGAAGAAAAGGGGCAGAGAAAAGTGACACAGAGAGAAATACAGGAATGAGAGTAAATGAGAATGGGTGAGTGAGGGCTGGATGTTTTGGTGAGTGGCTGGGGATGACAAGGCCAACAGTGCTGATTATAAGCCAGAGCAGGTGTATGGAGTGAGAACCGAGGTTCCAGGCTGTGTCTCAGACCTGAGCAGGAAGCATCTACACTCTGTCCTGTTGCAGAGATTGTCCAGTGGCCTTTGGTGACACCAGCACTTGGGTGATTTGACAAGGGCATCTACTGACACCTGGCACTCAATCTGCATCCACAGTGGCTATGGTGGAATAGAGACCTCCAGCTTTCTAGGAGGAATTACAGGTGCTTGGTGAAGCCAAGAGCTAGGTACGCTCCCCATAGAAGTGGAGGGGCTGGGGAGGACAGGTAGATCAAAACAGTGTCTCAGGGGTCATACCAGAAGTGTTAAAACGGGAAATCCTTTCTTTGTTATTTGAGCACTTGGATCTGCTTACACTCTTCACCTCTGCTCCTCCTTAGCCCACCTCTGTGCCTCATCCTAAGTTCAACGTGACAGTGCTTGTTTTCTACATTCCCTGACAATAGGAAAAACCTGGAAATTTAGTGACTTGCTTGGTGTAAAAATTCCTGAGTCTAAATTTCATGACCTTTGGACAAAGGAGGTTAAGAGTTGGGAAGAATACATTTGAAATCTACATTCATCTGGATTTTGATGTTGACATATTTATGTCTCTTTAAACTCAGCTGTGGCCTACCCTCTTTTTTGTCCCCTACTAGTCATAGCTCCTTTTCTATACCATCTAAATTTTTAACTGGGCACGTGACTGCTCAACCTAAAGACTGTACCTCTGCCTCTCTTGCAGCTAAGTGTGATCATATTGGCCCAACAGTATGTAAGCAAAAATGTTGGTTGTGAGCTTCTGAGGAACTTTCTGAAAGACCATTGGTGCAAGTCCTTCATCCTTCCCTTATTCCTTCCTCCACCCTGCTGCCTGGAATTCAAGTCTACCTCCATATTCGACCACAAAGACAACAGCTTTGGGACAGGGATGTGAAGCCAAAGGACAAATGATCCCAGAAGATTCGGAATGAGATATATATCAGCCCAACACTGTCTGTACCTGAACTTATAATATAAAAATTCTATTTGTTTAATGCTAAAGCTAAGTGAGGATTTTCTGTTACATACAGCCAAACCTAATTCTAATTGATATACCAACTACTAAAATTAACTAGTCATTGGTTAAAAGAATGTAATGTATACATTTATAATGTAAAAAGTAATGACTTGATATTTATCAGCGTATAATAAAGTCACAGAAGTAAATTTTAAGGCAAATTATCATCTGTTAGGCCAGACCTGTAACAATGTGTTCTTAAAAGTATATATGCAGTTGCTTATTCAGCCAATTTTATTCTGTCAGGCCCTGTATCAATCCCCAGGGATGCCACAGTGAATAAGCCATGATCCCTGCTCCCAAGGATTTCACATCTGGGGAAACTGGAATACAATTATGACAGTAGGAATAAGCAGAGGATAACATGGGCACTTCCACCCTTCCTCTCAACCTGACGTAAGGGCTAGCGAATGCTTTCTCAGAGATGAGGTCCCACTCGAGACCTGAATGACAAATAGGAGCTTGTCAAAGGAGAGAAGCAGTATGCCAGGGTGGTCCGTGCATGCAGAAGCCTGGAGGAGAGGCAGTATAGCACATCTGGACAGCTGCAAGAGGGCAAATGAGACTGAGGACCTATGCCGGAAATGACAAAACAGCGCTCTATTACATGGCATTTGCAGAGGCCTAAAGTGACTCTTCAGTCCTGAGGAATTATTTAGTCACTCTTTAGGAATGAAGCATAGAGAGGGCAGTTTTGGTGACTGTAAGAAGTCACCTAAAGACATACAGGAAAGGACTGATCAACTTGGGCTCAGTTGGGGTTGCAGACAATAGCCAGTGTGCAGTGGTACCATTGCCTACAACTGTGTGACCCCCATTCCCCAGACAGAGTGGATGCTGGTGGGAGGCTGAGGGAATGGGATCTCCAGCAGGTTGAAGAGCAGATGTGATAAAGTCAAAGTCATTGGGGAAGGAATGGAGACTGTCACTATGGGCTACACAGGATGCACTTCAGAAGATGGGCAGTTCCTGGCACTCTCCCTACTGAACAGTGGAAAGCAAGACTCCAGGTTGGAGTGACAGCTCTGGAGTGGAGTGACCGAGTTCTGCTTCTGAAGAGCTGGAGGAAGGCAGATACTACACCAGGTCAGGAGTGTGTATGTGGAGAGAGATTGAGGAGCACCCCCTGGAGAGGGCTGTGGAGGGATCCTGCCATGCAGGGAGAGACTGAGGAAGGCTCACAACTCAAATAGCCATGCAGAAGTCAGGTGCAAGGCATTAGGCAGATGGGACAAAACAGGTTTCTGCCAGGGTTCCCACAGTCAGCTTCCAGGTTGGTTGGTTTGTTTAAAATACTTTTTGTGGTAAAATATATACAGTATAAAAAGTACCATTTTAACCATGGTTAAGTGAACAGTTCAGTGACATTAATTATATTCACATTGTGTGACTATCACCACCATCCATCTCCACATTCAGAACTTTTTCATCATCCCAAACTGGAACTCTATGCCCATTAAATGCTAAATCCCCATTGCCCCTCCCCCCAGCCTCTGGCACCCACCATTCTCCTCTCTGTCTCTATGAATTTGACTTCTGTAAGTACCTCATATCAGTGGGATCATACAATATTTGTCTTTTTGTGTCTGGCTTATTTCACTTAGCACAAAGTTTTCAAGGTTCATCTGTGTTGTAGCAAGTGTCAGAATTTCCTTCCTTTTTAAGGCTGAACAATATTCCATTATATGTATCTACCACATTTTGTTTATCCATTCATACATGGACATTTAGATTGTTTCCACCTTTTGGGAGCTGACACATTTTTTTTTTTTACCAGCTGTTGTAGAGGCCTAGTTATAGTAAAAGTGCTGGGAGAGAAGTTAGCAGGGAAACAGAGAAACCTGGAGCAAAATAGGAATGGGATACAACTCTCTCTTTTTTACTAATGCGGAAATTGAAGTCTGTAAAAGGTCTGAATGGCTCAAAGCTACAAAGAACTCAAGTCTTCTGACCTTCAGACTGCTATTTCTTCTAGTACCATGTTCACCAACATAGTCTGAATTCAGCGAAATTCCATGACAGTCAGGGAATATGGGTAGGGCCAGACGAATAGATCCTAGAAGTCTGGGAGTGGAGGCTTGAACCCTGGGCATGACACTACACTGGCACAGAAATGGAGCTGTCGAGATCGTTCCCAGGCACGTCTGTCAAAGTAATTTGGATCCCACCTCACTGGGTCACTGATCTTTTCTTTCTTTTGACATTTGTTCACATGTGGTTATATGTCTGTCTGTTCCCTTTCTTGGTCTCAGCAGGATGAGAACAATCTCTGGAGCAGGTGAAATATTTAGGTATTAAGTGAAAGGGCCATTTACACCCTTTCTAAGGACACTGACATTTCAAAGAGCTACTTTAGAAAATTGGAGACTTTTGGACCCAAGAGAATGAGACTAATGGTGGAATGGCAGAGGGTGAGGGTGCTGCCTTCAGGCAGGACCCACCTCCTCTGCTGGCTAGTGGGTTTGTTAGAAGACTGCAAAGAGAAGCAGTGGGGAATTGACCACCCAGGCCTCCTTCCCTCCCAAAGAACATAGGCTTATCACAACTGTGTTAGAGCTTTGTTTTTTAACTTTCTCAGAACTTAATTTTAGCTTCCTTAAGAAAAAAACTGCATTTTGTATTTATTTTACCATCCACACAGGGGTGCACTATAGCCTTCTGCATGTAATCAGTTCTCAGTCAAACTTCGGAGGATGATTAACCACTGGCCCAATATTTCAAACTTGGGTGAAGGAATCAAGGATAATAGGGGTGCTTTTGTTGTACTTTGCTACTTAATCCTTCAGATTCATCATGGACCAATAATAACAAATAAATATTGTCATTGAAAAGTATCTTCTTCTTTTAACCTTTGACAGCAATGTACTTCATCAAATATTTACCTTATTTTTATCCATTTTTTTAGTTCACACACACACAGATATCACCTTGTTCTTTTATAATATGTAAAGCATAACAAAACCCAGACTGTACCAGAATCCTCTGTAAACTTACTATAATGATTATTTGTTATATGGAGTCTCCTAATTGTTTCTAGTATCAGCTCCTTACTATGAACAAATGCAACTATGTATGAATCCCCCTTAGGGAATCAGAGTTTATGAAAAAGTAATTTATTTCCCTCTTATATTTTTTCATATATATATGTGTGTGCATATATATTTTGTATTTTTTTTCATTGTTTACATATATGTGTGTGTGTGTGTATATATATATATATGTACATATATATATATATATATATGTGATTTTCATGACAGCCAAATGTCTCCAAGTCTAGAGAAGATAGAACAGTACCAGTGACTCTGCTTTGTCCAGTGTTTTAAGGTTGGCAGTATACATTATCCTCAATTGATACTTACAGGTCAAGATGGTAAATGGTTGCCCAGTTTATAGAGGTGGATACTAACTCTCAGACACAGCTTGCAGAACACATAAAGCTAGCTTAGACCTAAATCTTATAATTCCAAATCTCACCCTCTTTCCCTCTACTATCTTCTTATCATCACCATCTGCATCTCTCGGAGATAGGCAGTTTATTTCAATGCCCAATAAACTTGAAATCTCTGCTAAAACCAACAAATGCAGGAAATAGCAATCTTAGATCTCATCTGAAATGTGTTTTTTTCAAGTGATCACTTAGTCAAGCTTGACATGCTTAAGGCCAAAATGTATTTCAGTGTAGATAGACTCTCAAAATTAGCTATTTTTTAAAAAGTGTTTCACCATAAACATTAAAAAAATCCTTTATCATTCCATAAGGTTGGAAATAAGAGGTTAAAAGGTTTAAGAAACTGAAAAACACAGCTAAAATGTAAGTGAAGTACCATATCACAATATCTAAAATGTTTTTTAAACTCAAAAATATACATACACAAGAGAAGCCATTTCACCAGCATTTATTATTCCATTATTTGTTTTATAATAATCATTTGCTGTACCTTATAAACATACTGGGAGAATATTTTTCTATGGAAATAGTAAATAATTGAAATGCAAACTTTTCTGCTTTAAATCCGTTAAAATACATCACTTGCTTTTCCTTTCATATAATCTCATTTATTTTTTGCTTATTTTACTAAAGAAGCTTTCCCTCCCTTCTTTATAAACAATTTTATTTCTTACTAAATTATACTCCTTTCCACCACAGTGTAAAAAAGTCAACAGACTAGTTGTACAGTAATGAGAAAACCAACAAGGATCTCCTTCAGAGTAAGGCTGAAGGGAAACAATTTGTACTAGTTAAGATTTATTCCCTTATCCTCCCCTCCAAATATTACATCTTTCAACAAAGAATTCTTGTTTAACTTTATTGGAAAGTGTGTAGCAGGCAGTGTTTAGAAATATTACAGATCTAAATGTACATGTTAGTGTAGTTAGCTCTGAGTGAGCACAGGAAAATGAGAATTTCAATTTGTTGCAAGGACATCTCATGTAAACAACAATAACAAAAAGAGTAAGTGCAGGATTTTTTAAAAGTCATTACCAAAGAAATTTCTTAATATATGTATAATTGTCATCCTTACAATTAATAATAATAAACAAGCAACCAGAACTCTCAGCTTTACACTCCTTCCTTCTACTACCTACTTCCCTCAGTCATTACTGGGGCATTAGTTTCAGCTCAATTTTAAAGTTTCAGAGTCTGAGAGCTTAAAATGGACAATCTGCCCGTTTGCATTGAACAACTAGCTACTGTTTCAGAATTTCACATCACAAACCACACACACCATTTCTGTTGACAGATATACAGTTAATTGTGACAAAAACACCAGGTTAATTTAAGTAAAATTTATTATATCATGTTTTAAAAAATGTTATTCTTATAGAGAAACTTGTAACTAAGAAAGAACAGATTAAAAACTGGAAGACAGCAATATAAAATGAATCCATCAGTAGTAGATATCTAAGGGCACTCTTATTTGTGGTTCCCTGAGCTCATCTCTGTATTCTAAAAGGGTCATGGGGCTCTAAACAGTATTGCCAGGGCTATCCTGGGAACTGGGAACAATGGTGAGCGGGACGCAGCCCCTGCT